TGTATAAAGGAGAGGACGTTTTGCTGGCAAGTGAGTATTCCAAACTCCTAATAATCTTTTTTCTTAAACTATATTTGCTTTTCTTTACATTTTTATGCAGTACAAAATAATTCATTAGGATAATTTACTTTTTAGTATTAAAACAGACATAAGAAATTGAAATGTGTTTCTAGACTGTTTTCCTAGCCTTAAGTTTTATTAAGTATTACTACAGTAAAGAATGGATTTGAGCCTTTACTAATTTACAACTGTTTTCTTGGGGAAATACCAGGAAGAAATATAAAATTATTATCATCCCTAATTTTGTATTTTTTGTGCTCATCGACAGTTGGAAAAATATTGATACCCTTATTATTGCTACTTTCAAAACTAGGAGATTTTCTTTAACCCTTTTCCTCATCTTTCCACAAAAGGCTTTTTACTCCTAATTTCAACATAAAAAGCTTTTCTTTTGCACCATATGTGTTTATAAATGAAAAGACTGCTAAAATAGTGTTTTGCATATAATAATATTAAAAAGTTAACATAGTGTTATTTTTATATGAAACATTACAAATAAATTATGTTTTTAAAGAATGTTTGGAAAGTTTACCTAAGAATAAACCAGAAAATTAAAATGCCCTGATAACCATTATAAATATTTGCCTTTTTTAAAAATTAAATATTCTGTTTACAGACATTTGTAACTGAGTTTTAAACTAACAAGGAGGAAACGACTTAAAATAGTAAAGAAATGAAGTTTTAATCCTTTCAACATAAAAAGTAAATCAAACACAGAAGATAACAGGTAGACATGAGTTGGAGGCCAAAAGCATAATTTCCAAATGCTACTTATAAAGAAGCTGCCAAATCGGTAGATAAAAGTATAGGAAACTAACAGTTGGGAATTTTCCCCCCATAGACATGTTAAGTAAAAAGGAGACTGGGTAGTTGACAAAACAAAGGGAGGAAGCTTCGAACTATCAAGTGAAATAAAATATAATGTTGTAAGTGTGAATAGAAAAACCCTATTAGATGCTTTTGGTTCGCACTCTGATGAAGATTTTGACAGTACTGCACTTGGAGATGATCTTGATGTGCTGCCATTTCATTCTTTGCTGAATGTAGCCAATTTAAACTGCTAGAATTTCTTGACATTCCTACTCTGGCATATCTGAGTCAGCATCTTGTTGCTGCAGCAGCTTAATTAAATTTGCCAGTTTGTGCCACAAGGACAGACATGTTCTCATATTCAGAGAGACAGCTGTGAAGCAGTATTGTTAAGAGTTTCGGACACAATACTGTTAAGTTTGAATAGCTCTCAAGACATTTTCTAGTGAAAAATCAATTTTCTGTAATACATTTCTCCCAAGATCAGCAGTTAATATTCATTTTGTTAACCTAAAATGTGCTTATTTTTGTATAGTTATTGGAGAAACTTAGTAACCAAGTATATCTTCTTTCACATGTATTGTTTTTAGAGCCAACCTGAGCCTTCTAATTTTATTTTCCAAAAATTTTTCCTCATTAAAAAAATCAGTGCTTTTAATTAGCTTTTTATTCATGGTTTGCTCTAAGAGGGTACTTTTGAATATTTTGTTTTATATTGGGGAGGCCTAAATCTTTTCCGCAAATTACTATTTTCAAGTTTTGGAATTTTTACCATATTTATTCTAGTATTATAAAGTTGATTTAAAGCAAGTCAATGCTGCTTTTGGATGGGGCTTAACTGATCCTCTGTCTAGACATAGATCTAAATTAATGCTTTGTAACCTGATCAGGTCAAAACCCTCCCACTTTTTTTATTGGTGCACTGTAGCTGTACATAATAACTTCAACTTTTCATAACAAATGTATGTAAGAAATAAGACACTTCTGTTACCAGCCTGAAGTGAAATGAATAGCTAATAATTACCATAGACATAATTTTAAAAAACAATACATCCATAAGTACATGAATATAAAATGAAAGGAACGTTATTTACATTATATATGTATTTTAATAGGTAAATTGCAATGAAATCACTATGTCAGATGATATAATGATGTAATGAGATGCAGTAGTTAATATTTATGAATAAGGTTGGGAGGGCTAGGGTAGGTAGTTCAGTGGTAGAGCACATTTTTAACATGTGTGATTTTTGCGTTAAAACAAAACAATAAGATTGTATTTAAGAGAAGTTAGGTAAACTATATCACAAAAGAATGATAAGAGAAAATAGAATATAGTGTTAGGATAACACTTTAAAAGCTGTGCAAGACAGTTTTACACATTGTAGGCATCCAGTATTCCTCTCCTCTGAATACCTTTAAACCTCCCCTTTTGTGATAATCCATCTGTATCTGTATATTTCTCCTTCCTTCCCATTTTCCCTCTTAATCCCTGATTATTATGTCTTTAGAATTCTTCTCAGGCCCCTATTTGATACTTTCCATTTGGAAACCTAGAATATTCATAGCCACTTCAGATTGATATACATATTTACCTTTCTTCTCCATTCATTTGTCTAATCCACTTGATCTTGAGATTCTCGAGAGCCTAGACTGTACTGTATTCAGTGTTTGTTGTATTTTCAGTATCTAGCATAGACTTGCACATATAAACATCAATAAATATTAATAAATGGAATGAAGAATGAATTAATATAGACATCTATCTTTCTTATTAGTTTTTCTTCCTCTGTGGATTATTGTTTAATTTGGAGCTAAATTATAAAAATAATGGCTGTCATGGAAATTAGAGTTATAGAAACCAAGAAAATGAAAGTTTTTGGTGGAATTATAAATTCTCTTCTTGAAAATGTTGATTACAATAACTGAGTAGCAAGAATAAAGATAGATATGAACAAGATAAGAAATTTGTAGTCATATGCATTAATTGAGGTGGTATGGTGACCTCTTTAAAAATTGAGATTAGCACTTTATAAATAAATCTGATAACAGGTTCTCTAGCTATTCACTACTTTTTCTTCTAGTATATTACATTGCTTTATGCTAGGATTTTACTTTTTCATAGGGACATTTTCATGGACTTAGACATGTACAAGACTGATAAAGGATTGTACAACTTTCTAAAACTACTGCTTCCTTAAGATATAACTTAGAGTTGTTGGGATTTTCTTAATTAATTTATTGCTTGGTACTGAACTAAGAGGTGCTTTACCACTGAGCTACATCTCCAAACATTTTAACTTTTTTATTTT